AGGGACAAAATTATCAAATTGAGAGAATTACCACAAGGTATATATTATATCAGTGATGTCAAACCAATCAAATACGGTCATCAATTGTTTCTTTCCAATTACCAAGAAGAGTATATAGTCTGGTCTCCTAGTGAAATGACGAAGAACTTAGTAAAAATGTTGAGTATCACTTTGTTAAAAATAATGGTATACATATTAATAAAAATAATAGAGAATATTTTCATTACAATTTAGTTTAATCTCATGACTATCGTTAAATCGCATCAGCGTTTTGACATAAAAAATTCCCCCTGTAGTAGAGGTATAGGTATATAAATCTGGCTCCAGTGGAGTTGCGGCAGAACCCCCATTACCTATACTACTATGTGTAAACTGGTTGGTAATATAAGGGGGTTACCTATGTGTCCCAAATCCTGAAACCTTACAAGTATGTTATATCCTGGATATCATTAGGGTCCATGTTTCCATAGTAACAAGAACAGAATCCAAACTGGCTAGCTGGGCTGACTGGACACCAGTTTCTGTTTACACATACCACTGTCAAGGGCCCTATTTGGGTGCTCTGCCAGGACCTCCCAGTGGCAGGCTTTAGTAAATGTTAATATTTATCTCCCCTGGTTAAGGTATGTGTTGTCAGGTAGATTTTACTTATAAACCCTTCTCTGTTGAAGTTACACGGGATAGTGTTCGGGGATATCTCAAATATAATATATTATAACTTCAGGCACGGAAGAATGGTTTTGAATACTCTCAGTTTGGTGTGAAGTTGGCCGACAAGAATGAACGTAACTTCACAGAAGATCAGATAGCTGAATCAAACCGTGTCATCGGTCTCCAGTATGGCAGTAACAAGGTAGCCTCTCAAGCAGGCATGACACCTTATGGACAGGCCCGACAGATCCTGCAGTCTCCAAGCTCTCCTACAGACAGCCAGCCCACTCTGTGACAATCTACAATCAGCCTTATAATCTCTTGATAAATGTCCTTGTGTCTGCTTGTGTGTGACTGGGGGAGTGTTTAACCCTTATAGCAGCAAGTGTGACTATCCCCCAGCCCCTTCATAGGCAGTGTCTACAAGCTGCCCTGTACGTAACAAGACCCAATGTTCCTCTCCTGTAGGCAACCAGCAGGTGTGACTATCCCCAAGCCACCTTACAGGCATCCCACAGAGAGTTCCCCAAAACAGATGATAAAAGTGTGCATGGCATGGACCTAATGCTTTACAGCTTAGTTCATGGTTTAGTGGCAACGTCTTCCTTTACTAAATCAGCTCAGGCACCAAGCAGTAAGGTCAATATTTGTCCATATCGATATTTTTTAAATAAATTACTATACTGGTGTGTTTTTTGTTGAATATTTGAAGATGAAGGTTATTGACAAGAGATAAACATACTAAGTAGTTTGTGAGCATCTATAGCTTTCACATGTTAAATCAGGAGTCCCTGGAGTACATGTGACTGACCACCTTCATACTAAACATGTTGTCTTCATATCAGTCTCAAAAATTAAGATTGGTCTAAATCTAACAATTTGTTTAGAAACCAGTCATCCTCAGCTTGTCATAAGAGGTGACTAACGGGATTGGGAAGACCGATGTGATAACTTGGATTTTCTGGTTTCTCGATTATGTACAGACTGCTGTCATATGGCTGGAATATTGAGTGGGGTGCTAAACAAACACGCCAGCAGTGTCATGTAGGGGTGGACATGGTATGCCAGCAGTGTCATGCAGGGGTGGACATGGTATGCCAGCAGTCTGTGGTAGGGGTGGACGTGGTATGCCAGCAGTGTCAGGTAGTGGTTGCCATGGTATGCCAGCAGTCTGTGGTAGGGGTGGACGTGGTAAGCCAGCAGTCTGTGGTAGGGGTGGACATGGTATGCCAGCAGTGTCAGGTAGTGGTTGCCATGGTATGCCAGTAGTCTGTGGTAGGGGTGGACATGGTATGCCAGCAGTGTCAGGTAGTGGTTGACATGGTATGCCAGCAGTCTGTGGTAGGGGTGGACATGGTATGCCAGCAGTCTGTGGTAGGGGTGGACGTGGTATGCCAGCAGTGTCAGGTAGTGGTTGACATGGTATGCCAGCAGTCTGTGGTAGGGGTGGACATGGTATGCCAGCAGTCTGTGGTAGGGGTTGACATGGTATGCCAGCAGTGTCAGGTAGTGGTTGCCATGGTATGCCAGCAGTCTGGTAGGGGTGGACATGGTGTGGTAGGGGTGGACATTGTATGCCAGCAGTGTCAGGTAGGGGTGGACATGGTATGCCAGCAGTCTGTGGTAGGGGTGGACGTGGTATGCCAGCAGTGTCAGGTAGGGGTGGACATGGTATGCCAGCAGTCTGTGGTAGGGGTTGACATGGTATGCCAGCAGTGTCAGGTAGTGGTTGCCATGGTATGCCAGCAGTCTGGTAGGGATGGACATGGTGTGGTAGGGGTGGACTTGGTATGCCAGCAGTGTCAGGTAGGGGTGGACATGGTATGCCAGCAGTCTGTGGTAGGGGTGGACGTGGTATGCCAGCAGTGTCAGGTAGTGGTTGCCATGGTATGCCAGCAGTCTGTGGTAGGGGTGGACGTGGTATGCCAGCAGTGTCAGGTAGGGGTGGACATGGTATGCCAGCAGTGTCAGGTAGGGGTGGACATGGTATGCCAGCAGTGTCAGGTAGTGGTTGCCATGGTATGCCAGCAGTCTGTGGTAGGGGTGGACATGGTATGCCAGCAGTCTGTGGTAGGGGTGGACGTGGTATGCCAGCAGTGTCAGGTAGGGGTGGACATGGTATGCCAGCAGTGTCAGGTAGGGGTGGACATGGTATGCCAGCAGTCTGTGGTAGGGGTGGACATGGTATGCCAGCAGTGTCAGGTAGGGGTGGACATGGTATGCCAGCAGTGTCAGGTAGGGGTGGACATGGTATGCCAGCAGTGTCAGGTAGGGGTGGACATTGTATGCTAGCAGGCTGCATTACAGCATTCAATAAGCAGTAAGGCAGTATTCATCAAATTAACAGAACAAAAAATATGTTTGAACATTTATTTACTATTGCAAATGATGATGAAATGCATTGTCAATGATTGGACCAACCAATCCATATAGAGTGTGGATGTTTTTGATACAGATGAAATAAGACAGGATACAGAGCAGACTAAGAGGAAAACAGGCTACAGAACAGTAGAAGGAAGGTACTGTACAAATACTCTCACATACAGCTAATTACACATACAACACCATACTCATCAAATCATACAGCCAGTTGTCGGACCACTGCATAAAAATTGTTTTGTCACACAAAACAAAAATGAATTAAATATGTTAAACACATAAATGTAGAAAGATTTACTCGAGTATAAAACAATGGTGGCTACTGACAGTAAACAGTATTTTGGCAAGGGCAAAGAAAATAAACTCAATACAGGGAACTTATTCTGTGTTATTGCTTCAAAACCAAACCATGCATTGCCTGCACTCAAGGTGCACAGATCCTTCATGTTCCTCTATGTCTTGTGACAGCAGCAGCAGCTGCAGCTTGGTACATCATCCACACAGTAAGAGATGATTTTCAATGTGTACTTGAATGTAAAATCAATAAAAAGCATAAACAATTTAGAGCCTGCTTGCCACAATAAAACCAGGATCTTTGATGATGTTCAAATATCAACCCATGTTCTACCCTCATGAAAGTCTTATCATTGTAGGTTACCTACACAAAAGAAAGGCTTACAACATATTCTGCCTCTTGTTGTCTATGTACTGCTGTCCAAGTGATGGACTCACTGCACAGACCTAATGCCATTAGCAGAGATTAGAAAATGAACACTCACATGATGACACTACATACCGGGTATACATGATGAGTAACAGACGTCCTGATCATAAGAAAACTGTATGCCATACAATGATGTCAGGTAAGAAACACCCCCTGTGGTGCTACAGCCTATTGCCAACCAGCAGCAGCACACATCCTCCGGTCATCACAATATGTTAACCGTGACAAGTTCTTGGCATGAGTTATACAATACTGTAAATGTTTGTTGGTTCATGTCAGTAGTACAAATGAAGGCACTCACTTGATCACTATGTACTGTAGGGAAACACAGTAAACCCATGGAGCTGTCTTGCTTCTCCAAGTTAACTAGAAATATAGCAAATGTACATCTCATCTGAGTGAGTTAATAACTTGGCCTTCATATCAGTTACCGGTAATCTTCCATCAGCAACTTGGACCTTGCTGTGCGCCTAACCTGTACAAGTTTCCCAGGTGTATCTCTTGGGTGAATTAGCAGCTTCAGCAGCTCTCCTAAATGAGCCGTAAACCCTTGAACAAAATGTGTTTTGGGGAATGCATTAAATCAAAACCTGTTGCTTAAATATTATGAAAAACAAAGCATCTTGAAACACAGCAGTGCCTATAAACAAGTGATGATATTTTGTTCATTACAGACATTCAAACAATATGGACCACAGGTGTCAGTTCAGCTACATTATGAGATCACAGTAACACATTTATGTGTAGAACTTGGAACAAATGGTCCAGGATACATTGACTGCTTCATGCATGGAATGTGTGGTGAAAACAACTGAATCTCTTGTATCAGGTGGAGAGACTGGAGTTGGTTCAACTACTGTAGACGTGATAAACTATTCAATGAAGACCCATGCAAAACAGTTTGGACTTTTTATATCAATTTGAACATATTCATAAATACAGCAGAATCTGCCAACAGGTATGAGGGGGGTTCAATAAGTTTTGCAACTTCAATATAAGACCAAGTTGCAGAATATCTTTTGCATTTTTGTTTTTCAATATAATCTCCATTCACCTCAATACACTTATTCCATTTGTCCTTTAAGCTTTTAATATCACTTTTATAGAAATCCGCAGATTGGCCCTCTAACCAAGCCTCTGTGGCAGCCTTTATGTTCTCGTCATCCTCGAAGCGTCTTCCACGTAGGGCAGATATCATTTGTCGGAACAGGAAATAGTCACTGGGGGCTAAGTCTGGGCTGTAGGGTGGGTGATTTAACTGGGTGATTTAACTGTTTCGAGGTGAATGGAGATTATATTGAAACATGAAAGTGCTAAAGATATTCTGCGACTTGGTCTTATACTGAAGTTGCAAAACTTATTGAACTCCCCTCGTATCAGTGGAGGTATGAGACACATGCAGCAATGCAACACATCATATTCAGAATAATGGCCATAAACTTAATCAGGAAAACTTTTAATGGAACATTATTTATAAGCCATTGCCCCAAATTATGATTCAATACTCAAAGGGCAAGGTGATTGGCTTGGTCAATGAGAGTTAATTTATTTCCTTGAAATGCATATTACATCATCCCACAAGCATGTGAACTTGAACAAAAACTAACACAGACTGGTATTTGGATGTACCAACTTATACTGATAAGTCACACAAGGAAACAATTGGCCTCCTAATTGCGAGTGAGTGAGTGAGTGAGTTGAAGGGAGCATCAAGACAGTATTCCAGTTACATCATAGCAGACCAGCTTAATGTGGGAGGAAACACCAACCTGCTAAGGGACACAACTCCACACAGTTGCAATTCCTCCGACTATGTGGTCACCTTACAGAACTGCACTGTAATTACTCTATGGCACTCCATTTACGGTTCAGAAAATATCCTCTACAGGTTTAGTTTTCAATTAAATACAAACATTAGTATTATTTATTCCTGCACATAAAGTACATGTCGTGTGATAAAATCTGATGCTGGGTCCATATTAACCTATCAAATCTGTTTGGCAATAATGGAAATTATTTGGTGTTCAGTTTTTTAGCCAAGTTGTCATACATTTAAGCATTTGTAATATGACACAATACATTTAGATTTCATGCAGTCAAATTGATGGCCATTAACACAGACACTACAGATTATCGTGAATACTGCTGCCATGATTGACCATATTCAAGACATTTTGCTTCATATGTGTCTCCCAGCATCCTACTCAGGTCAGGGAGGCCAAGGAGAAGTGACAGTCCTCCTCAATTCACTTGTACATGTTCCTAGTGTGCCTGTCATCAAATGTGCTTGGACTCAGTAGCGCTGATCCAATTTCTGGCGTTTGCGATAGGAGTCAGCATAATGTCCCCCGATGCCTTGCGAATGTTGGCCTATGATATACTCGCCTTCAGGGCTGGGTTCTGGTTTTGGTAAGAGAGAACTATAGCTTCGTTTTTGACCAATTGGTGTGCTCTGAAAAACAGAATAATTAAATGTTTGTTATTGCCAAATCTTAAGCGTCATTTCAGGAATATTCAATCAGTTAACATATATATGAAATTAGTATAATTATCCTGATACAACATCATGACTAGCATTCTTATTATTACATAATGAGCAAGAGACAAACAAACCCACACAATATTATTGTTACACTGTATGAGCCATGAGCTGGAATATTCTCTGAAGTTGAAGTAAATAACAAAAACTCTGAATGTTTACAGTATATTTATTGTCACAAAACATTACATGAGGCAAATATCTGAACATACACAAAATCAGTTTGGCGTTGTGTGAGTGGAACAGTCAGTTGCTGTGCAAGCACAAGCGGACCAAACTGATTTTTCCAACTGACATATAGACCAGCAGCCCAGAGCACTTTGGTCAAACGAACAAGGTACCAATATCCGAACACAGGAACATTTACTGTGTAACCCAAAATATTCATATATGGATGTCTGCCGGGGACCCCGGGTAAAATTTGACATTCAAAGTACCAGATGAAAGTAAGTTAAGACACCCACAAAAAGTTGACCCTTCAGGTATACACGGGTAAAATTGGGCTGGAATATATATCGATTGTACCACATCAAGGTTAGTTTAAATGAACAGGTTCATATCACAGAGTACAGAATGGGCCACACCAGACAAATCTTCCTCTGCATAAGGCTTAAACATTGGAGGTATCACAGGGAACCAACATAAAATGAACTATTACACTCTACTTATTACAAAATTCCCATTGCCAGACAAATCATCTTCTGCATAAGGCCCGCCAGCCAGACACACCCTCACCCAACCCCACACAGTTGACCCTCTGTAATCCCAGTGTGCATAATGAAACATAGGAGGCAGAAGAGCATTGGACATCAGCTCTGAGAGTCAACAAATGGTCAAATTTATGTTTTGTTGTTAAAGATGGAAGGATTTTATTGAGATTAAAATCACGTATTTATAAAATTAGGTCTCTGAATACTAGTATTGATATCATAGATTAGGCCTATTGTTGAAATGTAATGAAAATGGCGTGAATCTGATTCTTGTGAATATATATCTGATCAGCTATGAAGTCCTCAAAGCCTGCTATAGCCTGATAACTTGGCTATGGATTCCTACAAGCCCAAACATGCTTTGGTAGTCCTCAAAGCCTGCTATAAGAATGGTTAATGATAGTCCCTAATACCATTTGGAAATCTCTTGGTGATAATTGTGTTTAAAAACCTATGATCTCCGTTTATTTAGCAAGTTTTATCATCTTAAAAGCTGAATTCCGGCCAAATATGCCCATAATTATCAATTTTCCATGGACGTCCTCTCTGCATTGACGAGATACTATTGCGTCAGGAAAATCAAGTCTAACTATTGCAATGTAAATGATTGGTTGCATAGTTCTCGCTCGATCGTAGGCCTACCTTGTCGCACAAATTTAAAAATGGCTTGAAAGTTTACAAATACGTTCGTACGAGTAAGCTTCAGAATAGGAGCGCAAATTAATAAGGTAAGGGTTTTAGAAAACGCTCTTTCTTTTTTATCGTGGCGAGAAGGTTTCTTTCAAAATATTCAAGCCAGATCTCCTTTGTGTTGACATTCCTACAGGTTATGTGTCATCAAGCATGGGTTTATCCATGCAGCATCCATTGATATAGTGAGCTAGTCTAATCTCGATATCTCGATAGGCCTAGCCTTTGATATAAGTCTAATGATACCATTGCATTGGGTTAGACTTGATTTTCCAGACGCAATAGTATCTCGTCAACGAAGAAAAGATGTCTATGTAAAATTGATAAATATGGAGATATATTAGTCCTGAATTCCGCTTTTTAGATGATAAAACTTGCTAAATAAATGGAGATCATAGGTTATTAAACACAATTATCACCCAGATTTTCCAGATTGTCGTCCTAAAACGTTTCCAAGTGGTATTAGGGGCTATCATTAACCATTCTGCAACACTCAACAACAAAAGTTCCTGTGACACCAATATTTTAGTGTATTTTTCAAACAAGTCAAGTTTGGTTTTCATTATTGTAGTACATGTATGGAATCAAGTCACAAAAACGCAACTGCTACAGAAAAGCATGCATTCCATGCAAAAGTTGACTTTTATGCAAGCCCCATGCATTTCACTACCCAAGAATGGGTATAAAAACATGTGCGTTAACGGGATTCCATATGCATTGTTAAGCATCGTGCTGACAACAACCACTGAGAAAAACAACAAAATTACGCAATTATTCAACATTATGAAATGCTACGCTTGTCCGAAAATGTGCGTCTGCGAGCCATTGGTATGCTTGAAGCTGGATCGAGTAAACGTGATGTTGCAAGACAATTTAACGTCCACAGAAACACCATTTGGTGTTTATGGCAACATTGGCAACAGACAAATGCAGTCAGAGGCCATCCTCGGAGTGGCAGGCCACACGTAACCAATTTTCGACAAGACAACTGGATTTGAACAACACACCTACGAAATCGATTCCAGCCAGCAACAGTGACTGCAAGAAGCATCCCTGGCCTTCGACGAATATCTTCACAAACCGTACGTCGTCGCCTCAGATGTGCATGGATTGTCGCCAGAAGACCCGCCAGACGTCCCATTTTGACAGGAAACCACCGTCAAGCACGTCTACAGTGGTGCAGACAGCGTCTTAGCTGAATGGTCATACAGTGGGGACAAGTTCTATTCACTGACGAGTCTCGTTTTCACCTCAGCCACAGCGATGGACGGATTCGAGTGTACCGACGTCGAGGTGAACGTTACATCAATCATTGTGTCATGGAAGAAGATCGGTTCTGGGGTGCCAGCGTTATGGTATCAGGTGGGATTACAGCAAGACAGAGGACCCGTTTGATAGTGGTAGAGGTAAATCTCAATTGACAGCGCTACCGCGACGAGATCATCGGCCCTGTTGTTCTACCGTTTTTGCGTCGTCATGGCCCATGCATTACCTTTCAACGCCCAGCCTCATATTGCTCGACTTGTTCAGGATTCTCTTCAACAAAACAACGTGAATGTCATCCCCTGGCCGGCTCGCTCCCCTGATCTCTCACCAATCGAGCACATGTGGGATGAGATGGATCGGCGCCTGTGACGTCAACCACGTGTTCCACAGACACTCCAGGAACTTCGAAACATGCTCCAGCAGATATCCCACAGGACTTTGTGTGACGCCTGGTCCATTCCATGAGACGAAGATGTGTTGCTTGCATCGCAACCAGAGGTTGACGCACACACTATTGATTTGTAAATTGACATTTTGGCATTTTCATGTTTGTTTTTTATGAAATCACGCATTTTCTGAAGTCAGTATGACAAATTAAACCATTTGAACACTTACAGGAGTCTTTTATCTGTTGCAAACCAAAATTGTTTCAGATTTGGTAAAAAACATAACTTTGCATTAATTCTTATTCAATGTCACAGGAACTTTTGTTGCTCAGAACATAAAAATCATGGCACATAGCCTCATATGCCTATCTGAGCATGTTTGGGCTTTTCAACGATAGGCCTAATCTATGATATCAATACTAGTATTCAGAGACCTAATTTTATAAATACGTGATTTTAATCTCATTGACTCTCAGAGCTGATGTCCAATGCTCTTCTGCCTCCTATGTTTCATTATGCACACTGGGATTACAGAGGGTCAACTGTGTGGGGTGGGGTGAGGGTGTGTCTGGCGGGCGGGCCTTATGCAGAAGATGATTTGTCTGGCAATGGGAATTTTGTAATAAGTAGAGTGTAATAGTTCATTTTATGTTGGTTCCCTGTGATACCTCCAATGTTTAAGCCTTATGCAGAGGAAGATTTGTCTGGTGTGGCCCATTCTGTACTCTGTGATATGAACCTGTTCATTTAAACTAACCTTGATGTGGTACAATCGATAAATATTCCAGCCCAATTTTACCCGTGTATACCTGAAGGGTCAACTTTTTGTGGGTGTCTGGCGGGCCTTATGCAGAAGATGATCTGTCTGGCAATGGGTATTGTGCAATAAGTAGAGTGCAATTCTTCATTTAATGTTGGTTTAATGTGGTACCTCCAATGTTTAACCCAGCCCAAATTTTGGGACCCTCTCTTGGGGGTATGGCGGACCTTATGCAGAGGAAAATTTGTCAGGTATGGGCCGTTTTGTACTTAGTACCATGTACGTGTTCATCTAAACTTACTTTCATCTGGTACTTTGAATGTCAAATTTTACCAGAGTGTCCACTTAGTGCATTAAGGGTCAACATTTGGGGGTGTCTGGCGGGCCTTATGCAGCAGACGATTTGTCTGGCAATGGTTATGTTATACTTAATAGAGTGTAATAGTTCATTTTATGTTGATTTCATGTGGTACCTCCAATGTTTAACCCAGTCCAAATTTTGGGACCCTCTCTGGGGGTGTCTGGCAGGCCTTATGCAGAGGAAGATTTGTCTGGTGTGGCCCATTCTGTACTCTGTGTACCAGTTCATTTACACTTACTTTCATGTGGTACCTCCAATGTTTGATCCAGCCCTTGAATGGTCCCTTCTTTTGGGGGGCCAGGGGCCACACGCAGCAGGGGGTCCCCGGCAGACATCCATATATGAATATGTTGGGTTCCACAGTAAATGTTCCTGTGTTCGGATATTGGTACCTTGTTCGTTTGACCAAAGTGCTCTGGGCTGCTGCTCTAATATCTCTTAGACAGTATTTTCTGTACTATCTGTTGTCTAGAAGCAACCTTTGATCTCTGATGGAACAGTTAGAATGCAGTGCTTAGTAGAAGCCATTGCTCTGATCTAGTGTGGATTGTGCACCTGCAGGGGATTTAATCCTGCATGCAGGTAGGCTTGAGAAATAAAGGTGGTAACCATATAAACCTCATTTTGCTATTAGGTGCCAAGGGGACAAACATTCGTTTCCTCCGTTGCCAGATAGACTTAGTGACTTTAATGTAACTGGGCACAGCGATAAGTTGGCTATATCTTGCTGACCTAAGACTGGAGGAGAAGTCAAATCATCCCACATTAGTCCTGAAGGCACTTTCCCATGCAGTCCCCCCATCACACTGCATTTGCGTAATGTCCAATGTCATGAATAAGGCCACCAATATACAATTTCCTGAGTGAGATACTACATTGATGCTTCTAATAATGGACATGTGTAGGGGCACACTGATGTAGCTGCAAAACCTGGTAGAAAGGGCACAAAATGGTAATATGAAGTTTGCAGTTTTAGGAAAAGTTAGAGCTAGGTGAGGTTTCTCTGGGGGAGGGCTGCTCCTGGAGGAAGGATATTTGCATTATATTGTATCAGGATATCTAAATATTTTTTACATTTTTACACTTATCCTATATTACTCCTTAATGCATTTACTGCTGTCTTTTGACAGAGAGGCAAAGCTGAGAAAGGTCCAGCTGCAGAAGAAGTTGTTCCAACTAGTTGTGTGGCAAATAACCGCACAGCACAGCTGCCACGTAACCCCAGAAGTGGAGATGTTTTGTATGAGCACATTACTGCTTGAACATAACATCTGAAGACTGACTGGGGAGGTAGCACTGCGATGGGAGGATACATAAATGAAGAAATGCAGGATAAGTATACAAATGTAAAAAAAATATTTAGATTTTACTAAAAAATTTAACTTATCCTGCATTACTCTTCATTAGAGGGGGGGGGGGGGGGGGGGGGGGGGGGCATACCTTCGGATGTGATCCTCAAGAGACCCTCATCAAAATGTCCCAGGAACCATCAAAGCATCCAGCAGTCTCCTAAGCCTGTAGAAAGAGAATCCTTGTAACCACAAGGAGATCGTGTTAACCGCTAACTTCTCCCTGCGAGGCTGTGGAAAACCGGGAGGAATAGTCGTCTCCTGGCATGTGTAGCCTTGGAGCTTCGGAAAAACCGAGCCGGGCATACGTGAACTTCCTGCTCATCTTTGGCACCCACTATCAAAGAGACAGGTGGGACAGTGAAGGATGGGTCTGGCTGCCCAGGAATTTGATTCTTGGCCATGAAATACCATCACAGCCTGAGATGAACGGCACTGTGCGCACTGCGCTCAATTCGGAAAAAGGCGATGTCAAATGCTTGTAGCTCGTTCACCCTTGCCACAGTAGCCAGAGCCAGGAGGAAGACCAACTTCTTGGTGAGGCTGTAATATGAAGCTGAGTGAAAATGATAAAAAAGTAAGAGCGAGGCCCTTGGTTGCCCTGACCTTCTGCATCACCTTGGGAAGAGGTACTGACGTCTAATGTAAGCTGCCAGGAACTGTTGGATCAGACCAAGGTGTAGACGACTTCTGGTCGTCAACTCCTGGGCTAACATGAGCAATCCCATGACGACTTGTCACTGATCACTGACAAAGTGTAAGCTGCCGTTGAAGAGCAGGTAGCAGATTTAAATTAGCCTGTCTACAAGAAAAGTTGAAAGGTCAACTTTAGGATGATTTCTGATTGTGTTGGGCCATGATGATTTGTGGAAAGTTGTGTTCGTTTGTGAACCAATGCCAGATCTTATGAAGACTAAATAAATGCGCTTCCCTACTAATCACTGAGGCATCAACATAATGGTTGTGGGAATTCAAAGCTGTTTTCAGTAGACAAAGCTCAACATAAACATAAAACTTTGGTCTGGAAGATTGTAATGTACGAAGTTGGGTGATCATTTCCATCCCCTGGGTGTCGTATAAGCGCTTACATTCTCATATTGAAGTGTCGACGAAGGGAGGTGTCTCGTTACTCCCCTGTGTTGTCATCGGCTGTCGACGTAACAGTCGTGGGAAGAATGATAAAATTGACGCTGTATCTAGTAGAAAAGGCTAAATATATCGAACAATAGTTATCGTTGTTAATAATTCTAAAGAAAACTATCTCTCTTACATCTTTGCCATAAATCCTGTATTTTGGCATCTGTCACACTAACTAAAATTTTCAGATTTTCAACAGATGTCCTCTTCACTGTCAATCACACAACTAGTTGTTCCCAAATAGCATCATAACCAATCAAGCTGTGACGTATGCAATGGCGGGAACTTCACTTCTTCCCACATCTAACCACTAGAGGTAGATGAATTTGGGAGGTGGGTGAGAGTACTTCCGAAGTAATAGAGGTAGTATTCTTAGAATTATTAATAATGATAACCATTGTTCAATAATTCTAACAAAACTACTACCTCTATTGCATCTTTGCCAGAATATATCAGAGGGACACGGTGGGATCTGCCTCTGATAAATGTTTGGTCTGAAAGATCCTGTCATACGAAGTAAGGTGATCGTTTCCATCCCCTTAGCGCCGCATAAGTGCTCCCGTTCTTGTATATCGAGGTGATGCTCAAGGGCGGTGTCTCATAACTCACAATGTAGGCATCAGAGATCTACTGAATTTGTACAAATACATTGCACGGCAAGCATTAGGTCAGTTGAGCTAATTCCGGATGTTTACAGTCAGAGAGTTCTTGACACATGACCTTTAAATCACCGTGCGCGGTAGCCTACAATCCCACATTTAGCCAGAGATGAGGTTCAAGCTCCACACACAGATAATCCCCTGTTAACTGTGTGGTAGACAGACACGGTAGACAGTGAACCATTCTATGGGCATACTATCGCTCTCTGTGTGGAATCATTCACCCAACATTGATTGTACACCAATGAGGCCAGGCTTAAAAAGGGCTTGAGGAATAAGACAGGGAAAGGTACAAAACCTTGAGGAAGAGCAATGTTGAAGCCGGCGCTGAAAGCAATGACATCAGGGAGGTCATCGACACGAGGGGAGGTGCAAGCGCTGGCGTGGTAATAGATGTGTAGATAGGCAGAGGCACCTGGGTAGTCATCGGCATCCGAGTCTTCATGTCTGAGGAGACATGAGAGTCTTCCCCGGGGACGAAATCTGGAGAATCTTATGTGAAGTCATGCCCGAAGACGAAGTGGAGGGTTGCTGCATCTCAGCCTCAGTAGCCTGCATATCGAAGATAGTAAGGGTAGAGGGTGTCTCTGCTGTGCCAGGCATCTTAGGGTGTCTGAGTGCCCGCTGCATCCGGCATTTCTTAGATACCCTTGGTAATTGTTGAAGGCTTGAGGGGCGAGATGGCAGAAACAGCACTGAGATGCCGTCAAACAGGGGTCCATGCAGTCAAACGCAACGGGTGGGGAACCCTGCTAGAATTGTTACCGTGGCAAGTAATACGAGGCATAAATCTGTAATTTAAGCAAAAGTCGTATTCATAATGCGTGCAACAGAACAATGAAAACAGGCAGGCAATTTATAACCCATTGATTGAATGAGAAAATTATGCAAAAGAAAGTGCAAACAAATACTTAATCGCCCGCAAAGAGTATAGGCAAAATACATGAAACAATTACCAAGCAATAAACAAGAAACAGTACTAGATCGACACCATGTGGAGAATTTTAAATGGCTAAATGGAACATCAATACGCCCGATATTACAGTGATTAAGTGGGCTATAGAGTGCCAAAGATTAATGCAACAAAATGGTGAGACATGAAGTCACAAACCATATGCAATATACAGGAAACTATGTTTATAACGAACAGGCTTATAACAAACTGACGAATATAATGTATTTGTTGTTTGGTCCTAGCCATTTGATGTCTGTATGCTGTATATATGCTTATAACAGGGTTAGAAACTAACAGTTTTTGTCCACTAGTCCATATAATGATAACATATAGCAAAACCCTTAAAATGGGCCAATGTCTACTAGTCCTTAGGATACCTTTACCATTGGGCAGTTTGGTAAGGACTACAGGACTAGTGCCAATTTCTAATGCTGTTATAACAAACTTTGGTTATAACAAACTACAATTAGTGGTCCCTTTGAGTTTGTTATAACCATAGTTTACTGTACAATCACAAGTATAACGTAGAGAAATAACAAGCAAAGGATGCTAGTAGATTCTGGAAGCTTTATTCTCAACCACATCTAGTCCATTTGAGTGACGAGCAGTATTGTGCTCATACAAGATGTCTCTAATTCCGGGGTCACGTGGCAGCTGTGCAGGTTATTTTCTACACAACTAGTTGGAACAACTTCTGCAGCTGGACCTCTCACAGCTTCGTTTTTTGGGGTAAAAAAACAGCAGCAAATGCATTAAGGAGTAACGCAGGATAAGTTAAAAAATAGAAATAACTAGATAATTTGAAAGAAATTTACACAGGAGAGTGGTTACCCCCATTTCATTTCCAGAAAGGCAGAAGCTCCATTCAATAAGTGGGGGAGTGTGTTTAACTAGTGATAAACACCATGACCTTTGAAACGATGAATCAAACTCCTTAGCCGCAGCATGTGTCATGTCACATTCACTTTGCTCTTAGTTTTGGTTAAACATTTATTATTTCAATCTTTCCCTCACACAGATCATGACTTACTTATTTTCATATTTCAAAGGAATTTTGACGGATAACGGTAATCCACTTTCAACAAACAGAAACAATCATCTAGTGAAATCTTAACCATTAAGCATGTCACATGAAGTGGTGAAATCTCAAAGTTTTTGAGATGTAAGATATTTTGTGTTTCCAAAATTCCTAACTTTAGTGCCTATTGTACTTCTACAATCCTAAATAAAACCGGCTCTAGGCTTTTCATTTTCATAGAGCATGCTGCTCAAACATTTGCACAATTGAAGAACAATATGTTTCATTCCATTCTAGGAACAAATTCTTATCACATTATGGGCCTACACATCTTGAAAAGTTTCTGCACTTTGGTCTTTGGCCTGGAGTTGTTTGTTTAGGTTTTTAAAGAGTTTCAAAGTTTGAATTCTTAAAAATATTTTAAGGACTTGTTTTTCACAATATTGTCATGAACAAATCATGGGTTGGGATACCAAGAACTAACTTAACACATCTGGTCTGCTGCCTGTATGAAGTCAAGGTGGAGACAGTCAAACAACAGAACTATCAGAAATAGAAAACGAAAGCTAGTAAATGATTAGTACAGCTGTACATACTGGCACTTTGATATGGTGAACAAGAGGAGCAGGGGGGCTGTATGCGGAGGATGTTCCTGCTGGTGTGGGGAGCAGGCCGCCGCCACCCGTGTAACTCATGGATGTGGGGTCACTGCTCTGTGCGCCAGTAGCAGCCTGAAAAGAACAAACCTCATTTACACCAGGCACTGCTAGACAAAACTGAAGGACGGACTTCAACTGCCAACAAAATCTTTGTTATATTCACTGCCACCCTTGTATGCTTGCAATTACATCAAAGGTTTTATGAATACATATATCAATATGGCATATATGAACAAATATATACTCACTGCCAAAAGGAACGGGAAACATAGAAACATATAGAGAAGTATGTACTTTAAGAAGAGATGTTTCCAATGTATACAGTATAATGACACAACTAACAATCAGTCAAGTGTCACCACAGTGGTTTTATTTTTATCATATGCTGCATGTGATTTCCAAACTTTACACAGTAATCCTGCATGAGACAAAAGGTGCATCTCAAATCATGGATCTATGACGTAACATGTGATGCGTTCATGAACGTCGGTTCCTGCAACATAACATTATGTTTGTTTGTGCATCAAACCAATCTAATCTCTTGAATATGAGTAATTCTTCATATATCAACCAACATATATGGTATTCCTGTTTCTTTTGTCAGAGAGTATAGATAACTTAGTCATGTTAGTTCAATGAACTGAAGTAAACTAAGTGTCAGGAACACATTCCTTCATGTACCAGACATCAGTCTGCACAATACAAACAGAAGGTCACATGACAGACAGGTAGGAAAACCAGAAAGCGATCATGGTAGATATGTACAGGATTGGGAAAATTCACTTTAATGAAAAAACAATATAGAGCTTTAGTTCTGTTCTTTTTTTCACAGCATAGCATGAATAATTCACAAGTGTTTGAGTGCGATGTCAGTCAACACGACCATGTTTACTAAATACAAGCAAACGGAACTATGCACATACAATGATACAGTGTTGAGCTCTTAACTTATTGTCTTGTACACAGATGAACTCATGTCAGTCACAGGCTGATTAACATTTTAAAAAATCAGTGAACACAGCGTGAAAGCACACCAAATGATCTCTTTCTGTGGTAAACTTTATTCATTGTTGATCATCAGACTGTACAGCCTACATAAATATCACCAAACATGTGTTACCGAATTGATTTAAAACAGATTTTACGATGACTACAAAAAGCAATAGAAGTAATATGTTCTTATGAAATCCTTTCCAACTGAAGTGTCTTGTCCATGTTTCGACATGATGCAGAACCATAAAATAACTTGGAACAGTATTGTACTGCTCTCTGTGTGTTGTGTTCACATCTCACTCCAGCAGTCAGCTAGTCAGTCAGTCAGTGCGTGTGGGTTAACACTGCTTTCAACAACACATTTATCATGGCCTGACAGCTAGAAATAGGAGGAAAGCCAGAAATGATGCAGGTATCAGAAGCTTCCAGCTTTGGTATAACCCACAAGCAAAAAAGTGTTTAAAGATGGTGCACACAAAATTGCAGCAACCAAGACAACTGGGACAGCCATGCCCCCAGCATGAAGAGGAAACAGATACCGTATATCGCTGTGTATAAGGCGACCCCACGTATAAGACGCCCCCCCTGTACACGCCTTCAAAATCAACCCAAAATCCTATACTCCGTGTATAAGGCGACCTGGAATGAAGCACATCACAAGTGTGCACACAAACCTTATATATGCAATAAAAATATGTTAATCTTGCATTGTTTTTCTACGATGATTGGTCGCGTGTGTAGCCCCAGCACATGTTGCCATTTTGTGTTTACACAGTACGACACCAAATTGGTGCCCGTAAAATAAAATTCATTTATGAAGTAATAACATATAAGAGACAATGGTGAGTAATTTAATCCACAATCTCTTATACCAGCGTCTCCAAAAGTTGTTAATACAACTGTAAAAACAGCGGGAATTGATTTCAGCTTCACCGGTTATCACATGTTAGGTCACATGTGCAATATGCAAATGCTTACCAGTACTTCCGGCTCTCTACTCACGGATGTTGATTGTTTTACCGTGTCAGCTGGTTTGACAATCTGCATCGAGGCGAGGGTCATTTCAACTTTATTTGCGGAAATTATTAAACTTTATTCAAGGAAAAGAGATACAAATCATGTTTATGTATGGAAATAGTTATCGGAACAGTTATTTAGGACGAAATGCAAAGTTTTATTGTCAAATGCTGGGCTGGCTATCACAGTACTGGTACACAGTTTGTGGAGGACTCACCTGGTAGTTGGCGAAGGCATTCACGAGGCTGGACCCATTGCTGGCATTACTGCCGTTGCTCTGATAGCCGGCAGACAGGGGCTGAATGAATAATGAAAGCTTTGATAATCACTAAGCAGATCCCTTGTTCACCATGTGTATGTCATATCAAAGAAAGATAGGGATAGATATTCTGCATTTACAATGAGCATTGAAAGAAAGGGTGAAGTTACCTGATGTAGGTAGTGTTCTGAGTACTGCTTCTGTTGGCCATATTCAGTAGGCTCCTGTAATGAACATCACATAAAGGAGTAGAAGCTAACTCAACTTGGGAACACACTAGGACAAGGAAATTCTCATAGCTGAGTAATAGTCAGTAAACTTAAGAAGATATCTGCTATTTCCAAAGGATTTCTAGGAAAAATAGTATAAATAAAATTCAAATGTGACAACTTTGTCCCTGTTCGTGTGAAGCTTCATGAAGAAATTGTTTATTGGTCTTTTCTGGGATCTACTCGGGAAGCAAAACATGACTGATGGGAACTCCGACAAGGCTTGTTTCTGCATCTCCCTCCAGTTAAGAATTCTAATCATCAACCTGTCAACTAGTTGCACTGTTCTCATAACATGATTCACACTCACCACATATCCTGAGTCATCAAAGTTGACACCATTTCCACTCCAGAAACCTGCATCCCCACCAAAACCCTTCGGCTGACTGAAGACAGACTTTGAGAGGCGCGTTCCCAGCATGTTACCATAATCTTTCAAACCAATCCCTTGTACACGAGAAGGCGGTTCCCCAAGCAGTGAGGCCTTGGCCCCAGCTTCATGGCTACTAGTCTTCAGCAATCCTGAGGCAAGTGCACTAGGCAGAGTTTGTGTGAAGCTGTTGCCATCAGCTCCATTACCCAATAATGACTTTCCCATGGGACCGTTTCTCCCACTGGAACTGGCCACTGGGTTTGGGTTTGGTAACAATCCTTCCTTCCCCTTATTGGAAGGCTGAGATGCTCCAGGAGCTGTTAGTGCTGGCTGATCAGCTCCTTCACTCTGTTTACTGTTCATTGAAAACATCACTTGACCAAGGCTCATCAGCAGATTCAGGTTAAGATTTTTGACATTCTGTAAATGTTTTTGGAAAAACTGGACATCTTTGGGATCTGAAGTTGACGTCATGTCTGTCTGAATGGACATGAGAGGTTTAGGCATGGTTTGATCTTGAGTGGTGGAGGCAAGCGGGGGTCTCAGCTGAACCCACAAACTCTGCAACAACATGTTAGCACGTGCAGTCATTGGGTCTCCGAGAAGTGATGGCTTGCTGCCTACAGAATTGTTCTGAAATTTCACAAGAAACAAATTGTAAATTTGATAATAAATTGTTTATTTATATACTTATCCCATCTTTTTTAAAGCATCTCTCTTCCTTCTTCAATCCTGGTGTTGAAATGCCTCAAACAAAATCCTCACCCCAACACATCCCTTTTCATCACCATGGTCACCAGCTGAGAGTCAACTCAGCATCCCTTTTAACACTTCGTTTAAAGCTATCAATCACACCTGCAGTGAGTGAACCATGCTAAAACGAGAAGGGGAACAATCAACAATACCCAGAAGGGTCTTAAAACAGATACTGAGACATAACTTGCTTAAGGCAGAGGTTAGTAGGTTAGTTTGGGTCACCATTCTTGGTTATGAAGTCCCAGCGCAACCCCAGGAAGACTTAGCCCTGTTGTTGCCTGTCAAAATGGACACTGGTAACATCAAGGGCATGCAGTTCACTCCTCCGTGCAGCAGTAGCCAATGCCAGCAGAAAAATTGTCGTGATCTGCTCAAAGTCTTTGTCTTCTAAAGGTTCATTGTCCTCCAAAGAAAAGTGAGGTAAGATGATGTTGAGATCCCATTTGGTTGGTCGAAATCATGCTGATTGATGATCACTGTGGAGATCTTGGAGCCCATAGTTGTGGCGCAATAACTGAATTAATAGCAGCGAGATGAGTGACCAGCGTCCAACCCTTGAGCTGATGTGGAGAACATAAATGCTGTAGATAGTCTGCCACTTGTTGCAGAGAAGCAGTAGTAGGAGTCATAATATCACGGGCTCGACAATATCCTTCAAATGCCTTACACTTGTGATCATATAGACAGACAGACAGACAGACAGACAAATTTATTCGGTACTTCAGGCCACCGGCCTATAATACAATGGAAATATACTGTATATATATATTTGCATACTGGGTAGATTTAATAATGATTTACCGTTCCACACTGTTTCCTTTCGATGTTCATGACTTAGGAGAGAAATTTACCTAAGCCTTTTATAATTTCTTCGTTTTCAGCTGACATAAGTCTTATAAAATTCTCAATAGAGGGAGGGGTAACGAGACGCTTGGGAAAAGAGTTTCTTCTTGCTCTAGAATACTGGTCACAAATCATAAGAACATGGAATTCATCTTCAACATGGTTATGTCCCTTTGAAAAACAGAAAGTGCAGACACGTTCATTATATGGGATGTTGTTGTGACGCCCAAGTTCGACAGCAAGTCTATAGGGATTTAGTGGAAGTGCAATGTGCCTCAGTAATAGCTTTTGTTACTCGCCTGGAATAACCCTTGGCTAAGAGAGATCTATGGAGATGAGCCAAATGCAAAGACAGAGTGTGTCAGGCGCTTGGTGCAGGCAGCTTGAGTGAGGTTGAAGGAGTAGGTCCCGTCATAGTGGTAGACGATGGTATTTTCGATCTGCAATGTCTACGAGGACAGAGAAACAGGAAACAGCCAGCCACAAGGCTGCGACCAAATGCAGTCGGAGGTGATTGGTGACCCCCCCTTTTGCAGAATTAGAGGTTGAAGAGAGCTCCTATGAACTGCAGTGTTGCGTGGGCTTGTCTCTGATTGAGACGTTGATCAACCAGCCCAACTGTCCCATCAACTTCTGAGTGAAATTGTGGTGTTTCATGAGAGTAACTTGATATGTGAGCGCCTGAATGCAGTTCATTATCTGGGTGAACAGAAGAGTCACGGGTACATAGAAATTCCAAACAGAAGCTCCCTCCACTGGAAGTCTAGGCCTTGGAATACAAACCATAGATATGGTCAGTGCTCCCGATTTGTATGTGCGCATCTTGCATATCCAGGCTGACAATGTAGTCCTCTGGCCGAATGATCATCCGCAACAGCGTAACAGAGATCATGCAGAAATGAGACGGCTGCATGAGGTACCGCGCATTGAAAATCTTAAGATTGAAAATCATAATCATCTTGACACTGTCTTTCTTTGGGACCAGGAAAGTCGGTGAGTAAAACCCCAGGGTGACGGGCTTGTGCCAAGACAAAGTATGGCCTGTTTGGTAATTAACATACCTATTGCTTTGTGTAGGACAGCATACTTTCTGTGCACGGGCGTCCTTGTGGTGGGAGGTGTCGCCAGCAACTGAATTTTTAAGCCTTCTGTGAGGAGCTGCGTGACGAAGGGGTCTTCCAGTAGAGTCCAATTCTTTGCAAAAAGTCTTCCACCTACTGGAGACTTGAATAGTTGTATGGCTGGAGGTGGAGGCCCCAGTCATACCGACGTTTCGTATGGAAAGTCATTTATTTAGTAGAGGATTGGTCTGGTAGACCTCAGGCATCGCTGGGTGGTGTGTACGATACTGCCTTGGTGGTTAAGGGTTTATGTCCTCTCTGTCCGTAACCTCGCCCTCTGCCACAAAAAGAGCCTCTTTTGGACTTGCGTCCACCGAGGACGATGGCTCTTTTTAGGCTGCCGTTGTTCTACCAATTGCTGGTGCTGGAGCTTAAGGTAATCAATCGATATTTGTAATTGCGTCTCATTAGTGACATCCTGGGCAATTGACTGGATGTTGTTAGTGAACAAAAAGGGCGCAGACAAAGGCTGTTGGTATAACCTTACTTTAAATGGTCCTCACAATGACAGGATGGTAGAATTCCCTGGCGATGCAAGGTTATGACAGATCCCAGATGATGTGACAATAAGTCCATGACTCCATGGAATTTGTGGTGGATAAGGGCTACTGCTCCCCTAACCTGGGCTTTCTCTGAAGAACTGGCATGTGCAACAGTGGTAGCTATTGCCTGTGTAGCTGACAAGATTGTAGACAGGAGAGGTAGCATCTAATAGTAGAGTCAAAGTCGGAAAGTTCACGATCCTCTATGATTGACGTGTGGGATGTCCTCTTAGGATTCAGTCTCCGTTCAATTCTGGTGACATAATCTGTAACCTGTCTTTAAACTTTCTGAATTGTGTGAAGGTGTTGTATATAGTACTTTTGCACTGTTGGAAATGTATTTGCTCAAGGCCCGGCCCCACCCCACATTCAAACTAATATTGGCATCTCATTGCTGGAAATCATTTGTCTCAGCAATGGCCAAAGGGGAATAACTCATTCTTCCAGGTTCAAGCAACTTAGTGTCACCTCATGACCAAATGCGTTTACCTCATTGGCTGTTGCAGCTTTGTCAGCCATGTTCTTACGAATACAAAGATACTGACCCAAATTCCTTTGTTGTTTTCAGGTTTGTTTTACAATTTATGGTCGAAATAAGGCCGCAATATAAGTAATAATGTACATAAGGTAACCTAGATTTGAAAATACTATATTTGTAAACACTGGCAAATGGTTAGATTGAGTAATTTCCTTATTTCATGTTCGCGCTACCAGCACGGTATGTCGGTGTTGTCAGACGACATGGTAGAGAAGGTCCTTCATGGTAAATACACTAGTTTTAGGGCTCCATATATGCATAATGATGATATTGGTTGTCTAATACGTATAAACTTTCTGTGAGGTGAGGCAATATATTCTAAGTTAGTGTAGGATGCAAACACTGCAGTTTGTGGTTACTGAAGTCATGTGACCTTCCACCATTTCATGTACACGCTGTGGGCATAGTACTAGATCTAGTAGATATTGAAGCTTGTAGAATCAAAATATAAACTACCTCCCTGGTTGTTGTACACATGTTGTTAGCTAGCCCTTCTATATCATTAGGTATATCAATTTAACTTTCCATAGTCATTGTAATGCAATCTGTCCTGGGGGTATGGGAGACAACTCTGATTGTCTTGTTTAAATAGTGATTTGCAGGGTGCTTCAATTGTACTGTAATTATATAAGGTAATACTTTTCACTCAAATTCCTTTACTAATAATTCATGTGTAATTTCTTTATATCCATAGTTGATCATAGTACATTTTGGAGTATTATTCTGTAGTATATTAACATGTAAAACACAGAAAGTAGAGTTTCGGTTAAACTCATTTCCAAGTACATGCTGCTTGAAGCATAGTTACTATTCTTGTACTGTAAATAATGGATAATATACTTTAATGATAGGATTTATGGTTCCCATGTTTATTGAAAGTTAATATTGATCCTGTTAACCATTCTGTTGATCAATAATTATTGTAGAAGGGGTTAATGTCATCTAGTCCAGTGTTGACAAAAATAACAGAGAGCACTAAGTAGGTACATAGATACTTTATTGTAACTATGCTTATTATAGACAATGAGTTGTATGTTGTATCCGTTGGGCCATGCCAAGTTGAAAACTTGATGACAATACAAGCATTGTCAGCCATGTTCTTATGAATACAAAGATACTGACCCAAATTCCTTTGTTGTTTTCAGTCAATCCGAGTTATTGTGAGCTGGCTAACAGGTCCAATTTCGTGGCAAGACCAGGGAAAATTATCTGGGCGGCAAGGTAATAGGCGCCGAAGGAGAGCATGTCACAATGAATCCACTTACACGGTCAGCGTCTGAATGACTCCTCCGTAATCCTAATTTGTTTGTTATCCAGGGATGTGTATCAGATGAATCCACCAAATGGAAACTTCCTGGCAAGGACGACGGGAAAGAGGACTCACTGTTAACAGTGAGGTCACCCGAGCGGAGTATCCGAGGTGAGTGATTGTCAAATATTGGACATATGTATGTATTGGCGACAATGAACTCCGTGGATAGCGAGGTACGGCAGAGGCAGAGTCCACCTGTTGGTGACTGTTGACGCTAGGGCATCGACGACAATCCAAATTGTGCTGTCGACTTGTGTCACGTGACTGGAATCTAGTGTCAGTCTGATGTGAATGTCGATCTAAGGCAGGTGATCTGGAATGCTGATGATCCGATAGTCGGTAGCAATCTGCTGAAGAAAGCTGATCCTTAATGTTAATCTGTTGGGCGTGAAAGGCGATCTTGTATACATGATCTAGAAGGACGACGATCCTAGATCCAATTGCGATCTGTCAAAGGTGAATCTGTGCTTCGATAGCGATCCGTGACAGGTGATCTGGAACAGTATTGATCCGAGAATTGGTTGTGATCTGCAGAGGAAGGTCGATCCAATAGCTGATTGCGATCTGCTGATTGTCAATCCAAGTGAGAATAGCGATCTATTTGTTGAGTACGATCTGCTAGGGCAAGGCGATCTGAAAGACGAAGTGGATCTTGGTCAGTAGGATTTCCTTTGATCCGAGCCGTCATGATGATCTGAGCCACAAATCACGTAGTTGATGCCGATCTCCATGTAGGAGAATGTCGACTGGATTCGCCAGATCGCGATCACTCCAGGTGATCCAAACTGTGCTGCCAATCTATGGAGTTTGTTCGCTGACTGTGAATTATGCTCCGAGGAAATCACTACAGAATCCTCCTTGGTTGGGTCTGGTAAGCTTGGGGGTTTCGTTTAGGTGAAGGATCAGATGACAGCACTGTGTGTCGATCAGCCATATCAAAACCCGGGCTATGGTCGTTGGCTTGAAATGGGCAGAAAACCGCGTGCTCATTTTGGCGGGGAATATCTTCAGTAAGATCCTGGATCTTCTAATAATGATCCAGCAGTAGATGGAGCGGACTTTGTAGCAGCGAGCACGGCTGATCTCACTGCTTTTTTTAACGTAACACTCACGTTTGGCTCACTTTGGACGCAAATTTGGAACAATCCAAATTACGTAAATAGACATGAAATCCTCCTAAAAAAGTTCTCCACACTGAGAACAGCGATCATTGTCCTTACATGGCCACGGCAGTCACAACACACATTGTGTAGATCAGACGACCAAAAAGTATGTTTGCACATCAAAGCAAAATACAACCAAAAAATCTTCAATTCTTAAAGGCAAGTCTTGACAAAATGGCTTGGGAAGGTATACTTAGTGGTCAAGTAAGCTAAGGTGGGGTCCCACGGGACAAGCGGTGACCATGGTAATGCTTTGTGTTGGGGTGTGGTGTTTTTTTATTTTGGAAACTTTGTTGTAAGGCGTTTCTACACCAGAATAGAAGAAGGAAGAGAAATGCATTATGTGAGATAGGATAAGTTGAAAAATAAGCATTTTTTCAGTCCCATGTCAATATTTACACTTTTTGTCTAAAAAAAAGCCACAATACATGTGTTAGAGAGAGTGAGTGAGTATGGTCATATGATGCTTTAAGCAATATTCCAGCATTATCATGGCAGGGGACACCAGAAACGGGCTTCACACATTGTACCCATGTGGGGAATAGATCCTGTGCTTAGGGCACTGCCCCACGTAAGATGTAGATTGGCACGAAGACATGCTGTGTTTTACTGTTAACCTACATAATTAGACAATGAATATACCTGAGAATCAGTTTGTTGACCAAGCAGATTCAGCTGTCTTGCCAGGGGACCTGTGAACTATTACAAAGACACATCAACTATCATTTTCAATCAACTGTTATACTAAAACAATAACATTCTAATATGGCTCCATGATAATGCATGTCATCATAAGCAACTGATAATAAGTTATAGTTTTTGTTTGTTTGTTGTTTAACGCTGCAGTCATCATGAGCATTGATCCATGCAATTGGGATACGATGACATGCATCAACCAAGTCAGCAAGTCTTACACCCGATCCCGTTAGTTACCTCTTACGACAAGCATAGTTGCCTTTTACGGCATGTCTATTCTACCCCGGATCTTCACAGGTTGATAATAAGTTATAAACCTCTTGTGACATCATTCCATTGTTCTCCAAGTTGGTTAAGTCTTATAATCAGGGGTGTATTTAATCACAGGGATTTCCTTTACTGTTCCTAAAATATTTTTTCAATGATTCTGTTCAAAACCTTACACACTGAATGACACTTAGCTGATAATTCTCAATTCGATACCATTTTGGCCGAAGGGGTCTTAAGAACCAAGAGAAAAAATAGTTTGAAGTCATACTATAGAGAGTTAGTAGTGTTGTGGCTGTTGTGCCTGCATAGGTAGGGCTATGAGGATGAGATCATACCTGCTGTGGCTGTTGTGCCTGCATGCGTAGGGCTATGAGGATGAGATCATACCTGCGGTGGCTGTTGTGCCTGCATACGTAGGGCTATAAGGATGAGATCATACCTGCTGTGGCTGTTGTGCCTGCATACGTAGGGCTATGAGGATGAGATCATACCTGCTGTGGCTGTTGTGCCTACATACGTAGGGCTATGAGGATGAGATCATACCTGCTGTGGCTGTTGTGCCTGCATACGTAGGGCTATGAGGATGAGATCATACCTGCTGTGGCTGTTGTTGTGCCTGCATACGTAGGGCTATGAGGATGAGATCATACCTGCTGTGGCTGTTGTGCCTGCATACGTAGGGCTATGAGGATGACATCATACCTGCTGTGGCTGTTGTGCCTGCAAACGTAGGGCTATGAGGATGAGATCATACCTGCTGTGGCTGTTGTTGTGCCTGCAAACGTAGGGCTATGAGGATGAGATCATACCTGCTGTGGCTGTTGTTGTGCCTGCATACGTAGGGCTATAAGGATGAGATCATACCTGCTGTGGCTGTTGTGCCTGCATACGTAGGGACATGAGGATGAGATCATACCTGCTTTGGCTGTTGTTGTGCCTGCATACGAAGGGCTATGAGGATGAGATCATACCTGCTGTGGCTGTTGTTGTGCCTGCATACGTAGGGCTATAAGGATGAGATCATACCTGCTGTGGCTGTTGTGCCTGCATACGTAGGGACATGAGGATGAGATCATACCTGCTTTGGCTGTTGTTGTGCCTGCATACGAAGGGCTATGAGGATGAGATCATACCTGATGTGGCTGTTGTGCCTGCATACGAAGGGCTATGAGGATGATGAGTCCCAGCTGCATATTGGGGTTCATGATTGGGCTCATCGGTGGGTATGGAGCAGGGCCAAGCAATCCTGCAACAAAGCTCAACATCCTGCCTAAAAATATCAAGCAATTAGGAGATAAGGCTACAATGTTTTGAAATTTGATGAAGTTCCACAGTAGAGTAGATAACATGACGACAAAAATGTTTTCAAAGCAGACGTCTTTTGGAATCTACTTAATGCATTTACTGCTGATTTTTGGCGATCTGTGAAAGGTCCAGCTGTCAAAGTTGTTCCAACCAGTTGTCTGGCAGTACCCTCACACAGTCGGCAGGTGACCTGGAAGTGGTGATGTAACATAAGAGCTCATTACCGCATAAAACTTTACACCTGAAGACTTCTTAGCACAGCGATGGGAGGGCACATTAGACGAAGTAATGAAGGACAAGTATACAAATGTAAAAAATATTTAGATTTAACTAAATGTTTTTACTTATCCTGCATTAATCCTTAATGCATCTTTAGGGAAGGTGAGCATATCTTCAGATGTGATCTACAATAAACTCTCCATAGGCACCAGCCAATCAGCAACAGCAATGTCCGGCATCGAGTGACCAATCCTGTTGGCAGGCAGCGGGAGTGAAGTATGCGGGAAGTCCAGGAATCAATGCAGTAATAAAATTTAAGCGAAGTAAAAAGACTAGAACTGACGTAGCAAGCCAATGCATGCACCAGAGTCTTCAAAAGGTCAGCTCCGGTCATAAGGAAGACTTAGAGGCACCTTGGGGTGGTGACTAGCTGGGCAACCACAAAATGGCCAAAGCTGTCTGAGCACTAGGCGCAGCTCGGATCTCATGTGGGTTGCTGGCTCTAGGAGAGTTCAGTCCACCTGCGATGTCCTAGATACAATGATGAAAAGGTGGCGGTTACGGCTTCGAGGTGTGCTAGGAGAGGACGAAGCACGAGACTATCTACCACGAGGGGAGAGAGTAGGGTCCTTAATAAGACGCACCAAAGGCACAGGTAAGGAAAAAGCGCTGCTGGCGCCACTGAAAAAAACATGCGTGGCACCACAGAGGTGAGAGGAGGCCACGGTGGCTCAGAACTGTTGGCGCTACCATCCACGTTGCGTCCATAAAGGAGGGCAGGAGGAATGAGGCACATACCGGAGATGTAGAACGGCGCTGGTGTCATTGTTGTAGGTTCCTGACATGGCATCACCGGAGGTTGGGACAAAATCATCGGCAAGGGTGACGGCAAGGTCGGAGTAGTAGGTGTGAAACTTGATGGGGGAAGGTGCCTACGTGGTGTCTGACATCCTTGGGGGTCTATGCACTACGACGATGAAGAACAGGGTCCAGTACAATCTTGGCAGAGAAGGTGAGGATCCCGCCACCACTTATTCTCGTGGCAAAGTAACCAACGAGGCATAAATTCTATAATTTAAGCAAAGTCATATTGAGATGGGAAAACACAACGGGAAAATGGGAGGTAACTTGTAACTCAAACCTCAAGAGTTTATAAGAGAAAACGATTTACACAAAGGTAGTGTAAAGCAACGCTAAAAACACAAAACATTAGGAAAAACAGAATAATGGAGTACCCATGTCAAGTGTCCAACCCAGGCCGCGCAATTGCGCGATTCACCCTTAAAAAATCAAATCGCCCCTCATAAAAAAAGTCAAAGCGCGATCTGTTGCGCACAGTAATTTCTTGTACAGTCACTTACTTTATCAGCTGTTTATCCCTACCTTTAGATTCAATACTCACTAAATCTTTAATCAATTAACGAAGAAAGACAGTTCACAGCAAACATTGTAAACAACTGTCTAAGCCCGATCGATAACAACCGGAAGTTCGAACATGAGTGAAAGCCCTTGGGTTGCTGAATATATTATCGATAGGATTGGCATAGGAAACGAAATTTGATTTACTTAAGTAGAAAACGAATCAAAACTTTGACCAAAATTATGTTGTATTTTGTTGTTTAGTGATCAAAAACCTTTGACAAGATGTTTAAAGACAATAAATATTCTATCTTGAATAGTTCTGAAAATATTTTTTAGCATTTAAGTTCGTTTTAGTTTCGTTTCAGAAATCACACAATATGAATCGCCGACTGTCATAGCAGACGATCTTTTGAATAGTGAATGACCATGTCGCGCAAAAACAAAAGAATAACAGACTTTTTTAATCAAAATAGAAAAAAGCACAAAGCATTGTTATTCATTTCAGTTCTTTATTCTGATCTGTTACACTTTTATATGATGATGTTCCAGTACATAATACAAAATAAGACATTTTTGAAAAAAGCAATTATCCCCCCTACTTTTTCAAAATCCGTCCTATTTTCTACATAATGGGGGGACAAGTCCCCCCTTGATTTTCAATTCTGGGTTGGACACTGCATGTCAAATAAAAGAATTCAGAAAGCAAGAATTCAAAATGGCGGATGGAACAACAATACGACCGTAGACTAGAGCCATAAAAGAGGAGAAAAACGTTATAATATAAATATGGGAAAATTATCTTCCTGAGGCAAGGGAGTTAACAAACCATAAAAGTCCAGTTTCCACTCTTGCCGAACTAGGCTGGTGTTATGGAGTTACATTTTGGCTGGACTAACGAGTTTATGCATAGTCCAATCAAAATTGAAATCCAGTTTTTAAACTGTCATGCAGATTTTGGTTGATTGCAGGATTTGCAAATCATGTGTATCCCAAACTCGTCAACAGATATTTTCCAAATCTTTTCATGTTCTTCATCAAGGTGCTCATGTGATTTGATGCATATCGCGATGTAAGACCCGTTTTATCACAATATGGATCTTGATTTTGTTTGAAACAAATGCAAGTGATACGAGAGGTGGAAATTGACTGTTTCATAGGAGAGGCTTAGAAGGGACATAACTGGTAATAGCCACTGGTAGCGCTATGATAGAGCCCAGTAATTCCAGCCTAGTTCGGCAAGGATGGAAACTGGACTTCTAAAGTTAACTCCCTTGCCTCGGGAAGATGGGGGAAAACCATAAAAGGCACAACCATAAACACAACACAATATTAGATGAAACAATGTTGAAATAAATAAGCAAAGGATGCTGGAAATCGGGAGAGCTTTTATCACAAAATATCCTCTCCCTTCGTGTAGGCTGACAAAGCAGTAATGTGCTCTTATGCAGAGCTACAGATAAGCCGCGTATTTGCGTAAAATACCCCCCAAAACTATTCAAAACCAAATTACTTTCAATTAACTTGCGTGAAGAAACGCATGCAATAAATAGAAAACACATTTTTTTTTAAACAGCATGCGTAAATAACCAATGAATCTTACAGAAGAGCTAATTTCCGAAACACAATTAGAGCTTAGTTACTTTCCGAGTCAAGCATATTTTTAGAACTGTTATATACATGTAAAACATTATTTCATTTTTTTTTAAATCTCAAAATGCTTACTCATTTGGGGAAAAAAAACAATAGAGTGATGAATGGATGAGTGACAAAATGTTGGTTGCCCAATGAAAAATGTAATAACCAAATTACAATAGAGACCTTTGAGTAAAAACTCAATTGCTCAAAAAGTTATCTGGAGCTCTGTCTTATGTGACATCACCACTTCCGGGTCACGTGCCGACTGTGTGAGGGTACTGTTAGACAACTGGTTGGAACAACTTCTTCTGCAGCTGCACCTCTCACAGATCATCTTTCTGTCAAAAATCAGGAGTAAATACATTAAGGGGTTTTGCAGGATAAGTTAAAAAAAATTATTACTTAAGTTCAAGATTGAAATACTCATAGCATTGACAAGTTCAAAATAACGATTTAAAAGAAATTCTCAATTAACCCTCCAAAGATATATGTTCTAATTTCATCACAACCTTTTGCATATTTGCATCTCGGAAATCAATGCAACAATTCATATTGTGGAAATCTCCCATTGGAGAGGTGGCAGTTTGTAGAATGTGAAATATCTCCCCAAAAGTAATACATATTTTGGATGACTATCTCTCCAATCTAAACTTCGATCTGGCTGAATTTTAGCAGCCGACATGAGAGAGAATGCTCAATTTTGTGACCAATGGTAAAGTGGCCCTTCACAGGGGTTAGTGTGTGTTTTACTTAATTGTTGGTGTTCTGAAATAAATTTCAGTTTTTAAAGTTTGATAAGCTGTGTGAAATAAGGCATCAATAGGCAAAAAGATACCTTTTTTTTACCAATCAGAATCAATCATTTTCAGTCATTCAAGAATGTTTATTATTGTTAATAATTCTAAGAATACTACCTCTATTCAGTCATTGCCATAAATCCTGTATATTTGCTTCCATTACACTCTTTATTGTCAACTATCCATAATCAGTTTCGCAAGTCATATCCTCATTATCTTGATGCCCATGCCTCCTGCACAGGTGCAAGGCAGGAAACGTCACTTTTTCCCAACATCAGCTATCTACATGCAGATAATTGGGGAGGTGAGTGAGATTACTCCTGAGAAGTTAAAACCTCTATTACATCACTGCCAGAATATACAAGAGGGAGCAGTGGGATCTGACATTTGTAATCCTTGGATAGTGAACATCTGTGTGGGTAATTATTATATCTAATTTATCCTTTAAACTGGCGATAGACCAAATTTAGGTAACATCATAACCAAATCACCTTACAAGGACAAATTAAGAAACATGTCAGGGACATAAGCAAATATGTGATAAACTTCCACTGCACTACTGTCATATTTGCATCCTGTTACCCACTTGAGACGGTTTTAGATGACCCTTTCAGATTGTAATCCAGACCTGACGTTACTTCTAGTTGCAGGATCTTCTGGTGGCCTCGACTTATTCCCAAGGCCTAAAAAGGTGATTCTAGCTGTTTACATATGATCTGTCCTACTCTCTGTAGACAATAGTGATCAAAAGGTTAACACACCTTCCAAAGCTGTAGCTGGTGGTTATGTCTTTGTCAGAGGCAGTCTTGCAGGATATGAAGAGCTGCTTCCTGTCTCCTGAGGGGCTCTGTTGCTGCCAAAGAAAACCTTTGCACTCGAATTGGACAGAGAAGACAATGTAGCTGCTCCTACATGGAGCAGGTATGGA